ACGACTGCAGGCAGGGAAAAAAAAGTATGTGTGAAGTTTGGATTCATACCCTGGAGTCCTGCAGGGGCCGCAACAACTCTTACTGTGAGCCAGAGCATCCGCAGGGCCAGCCTAGTTTGTGCTCTGCTTCTTAAGGTCTGAAGCAGAGACTATCCAAGGCTCAGTGCATACCTGCTGTGCTCCCCATCTCCTCTGTGTGCTGGAGCTGGGGGTGCCCCATCCCTGGAGGTGTTCAGGGTGAGGCTGAATGGGGCTTTGGGCATCCTGGGCTGGTGGGAGGTGTCCCTGCACACAGCAGGGGGGTGGAATTAGGTGATCCTTAAGGTGCTTTCCAACCCAAACCATTCTGTGATTCTATGACATTTTGCATACAAGAGCTCACATTTTTTAGCCCATATAAAACTCTCTCACACACATGCACAAAGTATTTGGTTAAAGTGACATTATCTTTCATTTAGAAATGTGTAGTGAATCCAGGACATACTGATACTTTACTGTTTTGAGATAAATGAGCTTTGAATCAGGATCTGTTGTATAAATGAACAGATCTGGACACAACTTAAATTATTTGATTAGGGTTTTTGGAAGGAGTTTGTGGCATTTTAAGGAGTGAAGCCTCAGAGCCCTGTCTGTTAGCTTTCTTATGCTGCAGCCGGTCTTCGTTATTGTTTGCTGCTTTGATGCAACTGCAGAAAAAAACTCCCAGTTTCAGACTCCATGCTGGGTATGGGTTTGCTGTGTGTAAGCAACAAGAGGTGCTGAGTCAGCCTGGGCTGCTGCACGAGCTGTGATCCTGGGCAGCAACCGAGGTGCAGATTAGTCCCCAAGCTGCTGAAGGGTGTATGTTACTCCTGGAAGGCCTGTCTGTATGTTGGCACCCAAATAGGGGTGCCTTTAACAGGGGCAACTTATAAAAGAGTGTCAGGAAAATAATTACTTTAATGGGGACAGCTACTTTTAGATTTTCTGACCTTTATTGTGATACATGTTCTCTCTTACACACACACTCTGATACAAGAGCGTGCGTTTGAATAACGCGACTGAGCCCCCCTGCAGCACAGAAGTGAGCTCTCTGCCAACATCAGAGCTCTGCTTAGGCAAAGCTGAATTTGAGCTTGTCACTTTGGATTAAAGGTCATAAAGAGGTCGCAGAGTATCACTGACTGTGTGATACTAGTGTTAGGTGGGTGATTTTGAAACTTTGGTGTAGATGGCTTGTCTACAGCCAACTGAAGGAGCTAGTGGAATAAGCAAAAGCCAAGCTGAGGTTGCGATGTGCTGTAGTTCTGAAGCCAGTGTAATACCCACTGCAACAAAGCTGACATCAAGCAGATACAACAAGAGGTACCTAGAAAGGTTGAGGTGATTTATGTCAGTTCTCTTTTTAAACCCCATTGCAATGCCAGAAGACTGTAATGTAGTAGCCAACCATATTTTATGACAGATTAAGAAGACAAGGTATGTATATACGTATATACACACACACATATATGTTTACCCAAGAGTGAGACCAGGCTCTTTGGTTTCTGTTAACATATGCATTTCTTATGCAGTACTAAAAAAAAATCAAAATGTTCACTTGGTGGGCACTACCTTCAACACTCACTCCAGTGCCCACAATGAAATACCAATGTCGATGATCTGTGTTTGAGTAAGAGAGTTTCTGTCATCACTTTAAGCCACAGGGATGCACAGAGCACCCCTCTCAATTATCTCAGCAAATGGTATTTTGTAGCGTTTTGGTAGCCATGGCTCATTCTCAGCTTTAATAAAACCACAGAGGGTTAACAACTTGAATTGGGTTCATTCTTATTACCTTATTGGACAGCTACAGTACTTGGCATCACCCTGGGGATTGCTTAAGAGTTCTCTAAACCAGTAACTGTAAATGCAATTAATGATCTCACTTTCTCTTCAGAACTATTGAAATAGAAATCACTTTGTGAACTCAGACAAACATGCACACAAAAGTTTAAACAAGGAGCTCATTTAAAACCATAAAGCCACGTGATCCAAATTTTCAGAAATAGTCTAGAAATTTTGCGACCCTCTATTGACAGTGTAGCGCCTCAATGCCAGACCCTATGGGAGAGGAAGGTGATTTTATTGTAAAATCAAAACCTGAAGCCAAACATATCATTCATTCATGCTTCCAGCCTCTCAGCCCATACAAGCACCAGGATGCACGTGTCCAAGCAACCTGCTGAGCAGCCAGGCACAGCCCTGTGTGTGCAGGTGCTGAAGTAACCTGTCCAGCACGTGGGCACCGAAAATGTGTTCAGGCAGCCTGGCCAGGATTCCTTGCAGTGATGCAGAGGACAAGGACATCTGCAACCGAGTCCTCCTCACATCCGTGTTCTTTACAGATGGGTAATCATCTGCTGGTTTCGTATGAACCTTTTTGTATTCTTTTGGAGCTGGCAGTGACAAATCTCTCCATCCTGGCCCAGCTCCATGATGAATCAGGATTTACTGCCCTTTGTTCTCTCAACAAAGGTGTCCTGAGAAGCTGCACAAAAAATAAAATTAAAAAAATGACTTGTTCATCTAGATGCCAACAACACTTGCTATTCCTCCAGTCTTTTTCCTACCTTGTGTCCCTTCTGGTACTTCCACACCCAGACAATTCCCATTCATATCAGTCTTAGCATTTCTATTGCAGTTCTCTACAATAGCAAAAGACTTCCCTCAGTCAAAGTGTGCTCCTTTGAACCCTTAACATCCGTGTTTTCAAAAGCCACTTCCTGCTCTTTGTTCCTTCTCTTTTGCTGGGATTTTTCCGTGACTCACCCCCAGTTCTCACCACTGGGTGCAATGGCAGCCATACATATTTTCTAAGACAGTCCTATTTATAAGGAAAACTGTTCATGTCGGTGACTCACTTAGATTTTTCTGTTTCCAGGGAGTTACATGACACCAGCTGTGGTAGCAAATTGCAGATTCATTACATGCTGAGCCTTTCCATGATATAGCAATTTCATAACCTTATCCAGCATTCATAAATTCCAAACAAATGGATTTGTGTACCTGTTATTCTGTTATTTAAGACAAGCTTTGACCTCACGCGAGTGTATGGAATTATTTGATACAACCTTAAACACGAACATGATTACTGCCTAGAAATATGGGGAAATTATAGTGTATGTACCAAAAAGCCTAAATGTGCCTAATGCAAAAGCTTATCATAGAATCATAGAATATCCTGAGTTGACCCAAAATGTTTATTGATTCCTTAAAGGCCAATATGCCTAAAATACATGAGAATGTGGTACAAAGCACAGGAGGCCTCACTGCTGTTGAACACCAGTCACTTGACATCATTTACAAAGGTCCCAGGAGGAGGGTTACACAACCACTTCACTTGGTTGCTGGCAGTGGTGTAAATGACTCAACATCAACAGCACAGAGTCCACCCAGAATTTTTTTGGTCATATGCACTGTGTCAACATGATGAATGCCTCCCAGGAAAGGAAAACGATAGCAAAGAGAAAACGTGTTGGTATTTCTGGTGGGCAGCAGGTTGCTGAAAGCCATCTTTTTCAGTTCTTCCATTGCATTTTCCAGGTAAAGGACTGACTGTAGAGATCTGTTCATAGATAGGAACTATCAGAAATAGAAAGTATCAAAAATTTGGAGGTGAAGCTGCCCAGTAGCTCACCTGTAGGAAAACTGCATGTAAAGAGACACCATCCCATGGGAATTCTGTACTCTCCAGGAGATTGATGGCCTCTTGTGACTCGAGGCACTACTTCATCATCAGACAGAACTGAGCTGTTATTTCTGCGGTGGGGACAGCTGACACAAAGGGACTCACTTGTACAAACCCTGTATAAATCGATCAAACAACTGGGATAAAAACCGAGAATTTACCCAGCATCTGTAAATAAATGTAAATAGAGTGTTCCACTGTAAATAAATTTACAGCCTCGTGCTGAGGGCATGGACAAATAGCTGGGAAGTATGGGCCAGTAAATGCGGGCTGATGCAAGGTAACACTTTTTTCATCTTTGCTGCTGGCTGAATGTAAATGAAGACTTGCATTCACCGTGGTTAGAAGAGAATTTAGGGTTACTGTGGCTTTCTTTCTGTTCTGCCACGTCCTCATCACATGGCCTGCTTTTCAGTCATCCTGTTCCTTCACTCGGGGGAGAGCTCTTCCATCATTCTGGTGGCCTCAAGTGACATACTGAGCCGTGTCAAGGCTGCTCTGAGTGACATAGCTGCTTCCCATCACTTTCTGTTATGCCCAGGCTCTAAGGACAAGCTGTATTACATCGAGCACTCCCAGGCAGCTTTGGCTGGGCCCTCCTTCAGTCCTGAGCACTGGACTAAGCAGCAGGCAGGTCCCGAGCTCTTGCTCCTTGCTCGAGGAAAGCTTTCTACAGGGGCATTTGTGCCCCAGAGCTTCAGTCTGCTGCTAGTTGACCCCAGCGGAGCCTTGAGCTTTGCTGGCACTGAAAATAAACCCCTTGGCACGGAGCTGGGCCAGATCCTCAGCCTCTGCACTTCAGCGTGCCCGGCCGTATGTGAAGCTAATGCTACTTGCCCACCTTTTTCCCTGGGTGATGGATGTGTAGCTGCCATCACGTTTGCGTGGCTGTTGGCGATTCCCGGATAAGCACATTGGAAATGCCACTGCTATTTATGCACTGGCTAATTTGCATGATTTATCACAGTGGTATTGAAACACCCCCGGCCCCTGTGGGAACGCCGTGCTGGCAGGACAGGACACCCTGCTGAAGCCCAGCTCCACGGCCCCTGCGCCAGGCACCGGCAGGGCTCCAGCTGCCTGCGGCATCAGCATCACCCCCTCCTCCTGCCACAGCAAGGTAAAAAAAAAAAGAAATAAACCTCATTTCCAATGAAACCGTGCCTGTGACTTGTGTAAACCTCGGCTCCCCCTTGCCCCTACCTGCGCCCTGCCCCTCCGCCAGCCCCGCTCCTCCCCGGCGGCTGCGGCCGCTCACGTAGGCGGGGGCGGCCCCGGGAAGCGCCGGGCGCGGCCGCACGTAGCGGGGCCGCCCGCGGGGCACAGCACGTACTGACCCCCTGCTGGCCCTGCTGCCCCTCTTCTCCTCTTTTCCTGTAGCAGCATCATGCCTGGCCCTCTAAACCTGCTGTTTAAGTCTTTCCCGTCCTCATGGCGCTGTTCCATCTTTTAATTTCTTCTCTCTTTCACTGTAGCAGCTCTCATCCACTTTTCCTGTGACTGCATGCCTCCTCTACACGTGCCAGCAGCTGCCATCCAACTCATTTCGCTGGCCAGGAAAGCGAATTGACAATGAAGTAGCAAGCTGGTTTCCTGTCCTGAAAGGAATCCTTAATAACGGGTAGGACATGATTCTTGGGGCTGCTTCAGCTGCCATCACTCTGCCGCTACAGAAGTCGGATAATTAATAGGGTTCCCCCCCCCCCCCCCCCCCCAAATCTGCTCTATTCAGTGAAGATAATTGCCCCTTGTTTACCAACCAAGTTGATGTCTCTTAGGGTAAGGGAGCAGTTCCACAACGGCCACTGGGTCACTGAAGCAGCTAGAAAACTGAATCATGTCAGAGACCAGACAAGATCCTTTCTGCTGCCAAGATCTGAAGAATATAGAAAGTTGTAGGATGACCTGTGTCTACCCCTCGTCCTGCTCCTGCTCCTTATTGCAGCATCGAAGTTTAGCCTTTGATGTATGGATATTGAACAACTAGGCATCTCAGAGCTCAGCCAAGTTAGCTGTACGGTGATCTGTGTTTGGGAAATATCCCAAACTGCCACAGTTCAGCAGAACTTTAGGGCATAATAGTAAAGGGTCTCTGAGAAGACCTGTTTGGAGAGCCTCAACGGGTTAATTTCTGTTTGTCTGCAGTGGCAATCGCATCGCAGGCTCTGAGTTTCACTTTCAGTCAGTTAACATTCCTCTTGCCTGTTTCCAGCATGCTCATAGAAATCTGTGTGCTTAGGTCCCGTCCGATCCTCTCAGTCGCTTACCCTGCAAAGAGAAAGGAAGCAGGCTGTGTACAGCTCCGCAGACAAGAGGATCTTCTGGTAGCCGAGTTTGTTTGGTTACAGGCAGGTGTTACCAGAAACAAATGTGCCTTTGTGTTATGGCAAAATGCTTAGGCTTTTGGCAGGGTCTCTACTGTGTCTGAAAATGTTTGTGGTCTCAACGGCAGCTATGAATCCTTGCTGCTGCATACTGCTGGGTGCAAGCTGCCTCTCCTTTATTCCAGCATAGGTTGTGTTTCAGCTGCAGTTTGCAGAGAATTCATGGGATTGGGCTGCAAACAATCAGTACTGTTCTTTTTAATTGTAGATAGTAATGCGGTTATTATCTGTGCTGAGCACTACATGCATTTATGAAGCTTTTCACAAGGCAGGTCTGATCGCTGCTTCTGTGTAAGAATGCATTTTTTCCAGAGAGGCGGTAAGAAAAACCCTCCTAGGTGGCATTGTCCTTGCAAAGCCTGGGTGATGATACTCTGATGATGATAGCAGAGCGCTCCCACTGCTACCCAGGGCCTTCTAGATCAGGTAGAGTTGTTTCTCATGCCTTGTAAGAGGTCCTTTCAGGACCCAGATCTCCAGCACAATTAGGAATCTACCTTATGGTCTTCTAGGGAAATTGATATTTTTATTTATTTATTTTTTTCCCCAAGAAATCTAACCTGTGTAGGGAGCGCAGAGGTTGTCAAAGAAACCATGCCTACCATTCCTCTTTCTTCTAGGATTTTAAGGGATCTGCAGATTATGATATGTTTATCTTAAACCTAACTTATTCCCAGGAGGGCGAGATTTTAGTGAACAGTGAACAGCTGGATGAAGCAGAAAGTCATGGAGAGGGTGTAAACAGAGGTCGGAGAGACCTTCGAAGCCACAAAGACTCCCACAAGGGGAGTGAGGGAGGCAGCTGAAGGTGCAAGGGGACGATATGCTTGAGCAGTGCTTATCTGGCTTTCACCTTGCGGTAGCAAATCAGTGGACTGGAACTGCAGCATGGCAGTGACGCTCGTGCTTCTTCCTGAAGTGAAGAATGCCAGCCTAGCTGCAAAACAAAAGCATCCAGCCAGCAATGCTGATGCAAAATCCATTTCTTCTGCATCAAACTAAATCAAGCATAACACTCCTGATTCACGGTGTAACTGCTGTGCAAGTTCTTCCTCTTTATTAGAGTCTCAGTCTAGCTGATAACCCAGACTTGCACGGGCAATAAAGTTTAATAAAAAAGAACCAGGCGATAACATTTTCAGGATTTATGGCTGGTCCCATTTACCAAATTGAGTTAGGGAGTGTGGAATGAGTTCTGATGTACGTTTCTTCTTCTTTGCTTCCTCATTCTGAGCCAAAGTTTAAGCTGGCATAATCTAAATAGGTTTACAATAGTGCCAAACCGAGGCTTACAAAGAACTTTTAAAAATGAACAGTTTGATTTATGGCTGGAGAGAGGTATGAATATACCCTTTCTAAATGGTTTCTAGGCTCATACTGGGCCTTTTGTCTAGTGCAGGCTGAACAAGGAAGATGAAGCTAGAACTGACTTCCTGAGTCTTGTCCAGAGCTATTGCAGGCAGCCATGCCATGCCGTCGCTTTTATACCCTTCGGATGGCTCTAATCAGTGTAAAAATAATGAAGGGCACGTCAGGGAACTGCTTCAGCTCCCAGAACAGCCTTGTGCTGTGCTCTGTTGGTCCCAGCACTGCATTAAGGCTTTACCTGAGAACTTCAGTCTTCCTTTACACGCATCTTTCATAGGATTTTCTTCCCTGTTCTGTCCCTTGCTCCCTTGATCCGTTAATTTCTCTTCTTCTGCTTGTTTTGCTTAGCAATTGCTCTTTTTGCTGCTTAGCAATCATCCAAAATCAAGGGGTCTGACAGAATTCCCTGTAATCTAGCTGCTTGGCACTGTCTAAAGTGAACACAACAGGACATTATGCCATGGTTGTTAAAAGTAGTGGTCTTTTCTTTTGCTGCTGGTGGTTTACTTTAAGAGTAATAGCTGGAAAAGACAGCATGGCAGCATGGTGAGGGAAACGTACAATGTCAGATCTTCCTGGCAATTACTGCTCTATTCTAGAATAACCTCCCATGGGAAAGACAGGTCCTCTTGCTTGTGGCATTTATGATGGCATTGCACATTGTATTGGAGAAGACAGTTTTTGAGTTCCCAAGACGCTGATGAGGTGTTGTAATACATCTTTGGTTCATCCATTCTCTAATTGAACTCAATTAATTAAATGATTTTTGATAAAGGAAATAGTTTATTATCGATGAAATGGTTTACAGGGCTGAGAGAGCGTCAGAAAGATGAGGTGGGTTCTGAAATGTGAAGTATCAGAAAACACACTAGTGACACATCACGTGGCTCATCCTTCTTGTAAGGTGCCTTTCATCCTCACTCCTGAACTGTAGATTGCAGTCAGGAATTTCAGTGAAGGCTGATATTGGAGAGGAAGAACTAATAACAAGCAAATAATTCCCGAGATTTTTAATTATATATAACAGGGTTAGTGCAATAACAAACAGCTCGTGCTTCTCAACAAAAAAGAACAGCAGTTCCTTTGCTGTGTTGATAAGGAGTATGAAGATGAAGCAGTACAAAAGCAAAGCAATCTGGTCTTGGGGTACATGGCTGTCCTGTAATCTTTCATCAGACTGTGGGAAAAACAGAGCAAAAATAGATGAGGAGGATTTAATCAGGCGGAGAAATCTCATGTACTCTTTCTGCCCAGCCCAGCACTGCTCAGAGTGGCTCACAGTTGACCTCCCGTCTGAATTGCAGCCATGGATATTCCAAGGACAAGCACTTGGCACCGACACTTGTCATGGCCAACTAAAAACCAGCACAACTGCTGGGGAGAGTGCCAGTGAATTGCAGGCTGATGGCACTGCTCGCTTAGGGAGACCATTCAGCTAGTGCTTGGTGGCGTGCGCTAAAATTTCTCTGAATACCTGAATATTCCAGCACTGAATTCTGCCTTTCTTGTGCTTCAGCCTAATTTTATGCTCTTGTTGCATAGACAGGAACAGCAATATTCTGGACATTTTTATGTCAGCTGCAGAATATTTCTTTAAATCCCAGATGATGAGCTAAATAATACAGTTTCCAAGAACTCGTACATAAAGTCACTTGAGGTCATTGCTGCTGCTCATTTTTGACTCCTTGGGAGACTTGTGCTTAGTTCATAGCCCAGTCTTGGGACACTGCTCCATTTAACTACCGTAAGAACAGCACCATGCTGGATAGCAACCAGTAGCTGCTTTAAAATCTACCATGAGAGCACTGCTATCTCCAAAGAGTCATTCTGATTCAAATGAGAGTTGCATTAGGCTAAGGTTAGGTTTTTCCTTGTGATCTTTGTCACTGGTAGACAAAAGCATTAAGGAAATAAATGCTAGCACAGAAATCCCGTAAAACTACACCATCAAAGTCACAGCAGTACTTTATGGATTAATTTTCCTATTCACATACTGAGCCATCCAAGAAGGTATTGCATGACCTCAAAAGACTTCCTGGAACTGATCTAAAGTGGATAATCCTGTACAGAATAAAGTTATTAGCTGTTGTTACTTAAGCTTTAAGTTATAACTCCACTTTCTACATATCTGCTCAGTCTTTGCTACTGGATGAAGAGAGGCAGGGAACATTCATGTATGGCTCTTTATCACCTGTGCAATGATGGACTTCTTAACAACACCTGCTCCGTTTTGCTTTCAGCTGGATAATTGTTAACAAACTGCCACTTTTGTGAGACAACCAGAGCTTTTTTTTTTTCTTTTCCAGTCAGTGGCTTGGAACCACAGCCAGCAGTCTGAGTAACTGAAGACTCATTTCAGAGCTAGCTGAGTTTCCCCACAGCTGTAGTGCCATCTGGCCCGTTTCTTTTACATCATGCTGCATGTCTCATTATTCTTTTCCTATGAGCTGTCCTTGTGTCTATTAACCATCACAACTGCTTGTTTTCCTATGCCTGGGACTTGGTTCTCTCATCTCCTCCTCAGTTGCAGGATTTATTCAGTCACAGGGTATTTTTGAGCCGACTGAATGACTGCTACCTTGCCTCAGAAAACAAATGTGACCTCTGTATGCAGGTTCCACCTCAGCTATGCTCTGCTTATATGCCCCAACCAAAGAAATATGGGGCTATATAATCCAGGGGTGCATTTCTAGATAAATTATAGCAAGGTATTCTGGAAGAATGCCTGGCTGTATGCAAACAACCCAGGGGGAGTGTAGGAGCGAGTGGGCTGCGGGCCTCTCCTCCTTGCACAGGGTATGGCAGTATCTTCAAGGTATCGCACAGAAAGTTAGCTGGAAAGGAAAGCACAGAGAAGGAAGATTTCTGT